GTGGCGATCTGTGCTGGGGCGCTGACGAAGAGTGTGGCGATCCAGTACTTTCGCTGCCGAAAGCGTGGCGATAACGGAGTTGGTCCTCAGAAAAGATAATAATTTCGACAAATTCCCGAAGGTGAATTTGACCTCTACGCTGACGATCTGAGCGCTGACGAAGAGTGTGGCGAGCAGAGGGTGTGGCGGATTGGTTTTGAGCGCTGCCGAAGAGTGTGGCGAGCTTAAAATTCATTTTCGCGAACGCGGCTGAATGACGAAGAAAGGAGGTAGGCGCGTTCGTATTAAACGAATCAGATTCCAGATCAAGCAAGCAGTCATTAATAATCAAGATCCTCTCCCCTTCCTCCAACAATTGCAACAGCTGGAAAACGCACCCTCCTTTAAACCTATTCCTGTCGATTTCGACGTTGATTATCCTAATTATAACCAAATAAATAAAGCTGATCCTCGTTACCATACGTATAAACTTAGATATCTTTTCGGTCCCGAATAGTAAATATAATAATAATATCCTCCACACGACTTGTCCAAATCCCTGGTAAATTGCTTAAATGCATTGACCAAAAAACGGACGAACTATAACAGTCAGAACGTGACATAAATTTGGTGACAGCGGTGGGATACTAAAAGTTGTGTGGAAAAGTAATAAAAAGGAAAAATCATGACGACGCGCACGCCATATAAAGAGCAAGCAGAGGGAGGAAATACAGGCACAAATGAGGAAATCAACGAATTGCGGAAGTCCATGGCCCATAACAAACAATTGGTTCAACAATTACAGCAGACAGTAGCAAATCAATCGACCACACCTAATCGACCACAAAATCCAGGAATGGTAATTAATGAAGGAACAATAGGTAACTATTTACATTTTTCAATTAGAGATGCCTTAGAGGCCGTGCCGAGTTACGATGGAGGAAATATTCCGTTCGTATATTTTGTCGAGGGTTGCGAGGAAGCACTCAGCATGGTTATACCGTCACAAGAAATAAACCTGGTTCGCGCAGTACGTAATAAATTAAAAGGAGATGCGCATAGATCTATTCTCGGGAAAACATTTAACAGCATGCAAGAATTGGTAGAATTTTTAAGGACAAAATACGGTCCTAGAGAAACAGTTTATGAAGCCCAAGGACGGTTAGCTTACTTATGCCAAAAGAAAGACGAAAAAGTAGTTACATATGCGAATCGCGTCCGAGAATTAGGAAAGCGTATACTCGATGCTCAGAAAAGAGAAACAGGATTACTAAGCCCCGAGTTCCAAAATTCAATCGAGAAGCATTTAAAAATGAGTTTCTTACGCGGATTAAATAAAGAAATTGTAATATCAAAAGAAGGTACGTTCGAGGAAATCGAGAGCCGCGCGATAGAAGCCGAAAAAGAGTTAGAAACAATAAACATGATAAGACGTATTATGCTCGTGGAAAGCGCGCCCGCCGAAAAGAAGGCCCCGACGTGCCGTGTAGAAGCCGAGACCGTCGTTTGTCAGTACTGTCATAAAAAAGGGCACACAGCATACAAATGCTGGCATGTCAATAAACCCCGAGGAAATAACGAAAATCGAAATGGATCCGGTTATTCGCGAAATAATGTTAACAGCAACAATAACTATAATAATAATAACCGTAGACAGCTATCGTTCTCGGGTGCTCAGAATCCAAATAATCAAAATGTTAACAACCAGAATCTGAATAATCAAAATTTTAACAATCAAAATTTCAACAACCAAAATTTTAATCAAAATTCTAACAACCGAAATTTTAACAACCAAAATTTAAACAGTCAAAATTTTAATAATCAAGGTTTCAACAATCAAAATGCAACGGTAACGTGTAGATATTGCAAGAAACCCGGTCATACATTAGAAGAGTGTCGTAGACGCGCATATAATAACGGTCTCCGCCAGAACTCACAACCTCAGGGAAACGAGCGAATTCCCGCGAGGACAGGGGCAGCCCCGGGAAACACGCAGACTCGCCCCACTCGAATAATAGCAGGGGAACCAGAGTCGGTTACCGAGCAGTAAACATAACTCAAATAGAAGACGTTCCGTCAGTAAAATTAACAGGCCCAAATTTTACAGAAAATTTAAAATTTTTAGTAGACAGTGGATCAGGGCCAAATATTATTAAAAGGAATTCCGTTACTCCCGATACCATAGTGGATAAAAATGAAATCTTAAGACTTAGTGGAATTACGACGCACCATGTGACCACCTTAGGGCTGGCACAGGTAGATATCTTAGGATGTCCAGTCAATTTTCACATAGTCGAAAACGATTTTCCAATTCCGCAAAATGGGATTTTGGGTTCGGATTTCTTTAAACAATTTCGAGCAAAAGTTAATTATGAGCAAAATCAATTAGAATGGAATAACGTTAGTATACCTTTTGAAGAAAAAGAAGAAATCTTCACTATTCCTGCGAGAGCAATTTCGTACATGCGTGTTAATATCGCAAATCCAGAGTTGAAAGAAGGATATGTACCGCGGTTAAGCGTAACGAAAGGTGTTTACTTAGGAAACGCCTTAGTTAAAGTACAAGATGCGAAAGCATATCTGCAAGTAATAAATACTAACGATGAAGAAGAAAGGGTGTTTATCCCTACAATTAAAATATATGAGTTTGAGACGGATGAAAATCGTAATTCAGATTTGAATCCTAATCCAAATCCTAATTCTAACTCGAATTCCAATTCCAATTCAAATTCTAACTCAAACTCGAATTCGAATTCTAATTCCAATTCAAATTCTAAATCAAATTCGAATTCAAATTCTAATTCCAAATCAAAATCAAATTCTAACTCAAACTCGAATTCGAATTCTAACTCCAATTCTAACCCTAATTCAAATTCTAAATCAAATTCGAATTCAAATTCTAATTCCAATTCCAATTCCAATTCCAATTCTAATTCTAATTCTAATCCTAATTCAATTCCTAAATCCAAAAAGTCTAGAAAATCAAGTTCGAGATCATGTTTGTATATGAAACAAAATGATAGGAAAAATAAAATAATGCAATTGCTAAGATTAACGCATTTAAATGCTGAAGAACGATTGCATGTCGTGAAACTAATAGAAAGAAATGCGGATATTTTTCATTTACCGGGAGAAAAACTCGATCATACGAATGTTTTAAAACACCGAATTCCGACGGTGAACGAAATACCAATTCACACACGACAATATAGATTTCCAGTAATCCATAAGGAGGAGATAAATAGGCAAGTTAATGAATTGCTAGATCAAAATATAATTAAACCATCGAAATCCCCATACAATACGCCTGTGTGGATAGTTCCTAAAAAACCAGACTCGAAAGGAAATAAACAATGGAGAATGGTATTAGATTTTCGCGATCTAAATGATAAAACAGTAGGTGATGCGTACCCGCTTCCGAATATAACGGAAATATTAGATCAGTTAGGCGGTGCAAAATACTTTTCGATCTTTGACCTGGCTTCGGGTTTCCACCAGATACAAATGCACCCCGACGATAGTCATAAAACGGCCTTTTCAACACCATACGGACATTACGAGTGGGATCGCATGCCTTTCGGTCTAAAGAATGCACCTGCGACTTTCCAAAGACTAATGGATAGAATATTAATCGGAATACAGGGAAATGAAATTTTTGTATATCTAGACGATATAGTATTATATGCAAGCTCTCTTACAGAACACGCAATTAAATTTGAAAAAATAGCTACGCGATTGCGTGCAGCAAATCTAAAATTACAACCAGAGAAATGCGAATTTTTAAGGAAAGAAGTTAATTATTTAGGGCACATAATAGGAGAAAATGGAGTTCGACCAGATCCTAAAAAGATAGAGGCAGTTCAAAATTTTCCGATACCTAAAAACGCGAAAAATGTAAAACAATTTCTCGGATTAGCTGGATATTATCGTAGATTTATACAAGGATTCTCAAAAATAGCTAAACCACTAACTAATTTGTTGAAAAAGGATATTGATTTTAACTGGGGAAATAAAGAACAAGAAAGTTTTAATGTGTTGAGAGACGCGCTTTGCCAGGAACCGATATTACAATACCCCGATTTTACTAAGCCTTTTCTTTTAACGACTGACGCGTCTGGAACTGCAATTGGCGCGATTTTAAGTCAAGGACAGGTAGGGAAAGATCAACCGATAAGTTATGCCTCTCGAGTATTAAACGATGCCGAGAAAAATTATTCAACGATAGAAAAGGAATTATTAGCGATAGTGTACGCTGTACAACATTTTAGACCATATCTTTACGGTAAAAAATTTAAATTAATAACCGATCATAAACCATTAACTTGGCTTCATAAATTGAAAGACCCTACATCACGTTTAGCGAGATGGAGAATTAAATTAGCCGAATACGATTACGAAATAATTTACAAACCAGGAAAAATTAATGCTAATGCTGATGCTTTGTCAAGAAATCCTACGACAAGTATATATCCAATACATCCCTCGTACGACGAAATCGAAGAATGTCCGGAGGACGATGAAGCGAGACAGAGAAACGCTAAACCGAAACCTATACCTGCTTCACCAAGAAGAGGAACAATGAGAGAAGAGCCAGAGCCAATTGTTGCGGGGATGCGAACGCGCCATATGGAAACTTCAGAAGGAGAAAGCGTACCATTTACTAAGAAAGAACTGGAGGAATTACCATTTTACGAGCATGTAGTTCACGCAGAAATACATAACGAACCAATGAATCGAATGAATGATAATAATAATGCTAACACTTTACCAGAATTATCTGAAACTGAAGATGACAATGAAAATACATTATCAGAAGAAGAAGATGAAAATGAAATAGAGCCATTATTATTAGAAAGCAGCGACAGTCACATTGATGAAGATTTATCCACCTCACCAATAAGTATACCACCTAATCTTTTACAGATAATAAATAATTTAGCAGAAGACTATGAAGACGATGAAATTAATCAAAACGAAACTCTACATGAAGAAAATTGTGAGGATTCAATCCCAATAGCCGAAGACAACGAAAACAATGACCAGATTACCGACGATGACGACTCCGGAGAAGAAAACGAAGACGAGGAAGGAGACAATAGCGACAGAGACGTTGACGCAACTTACAATGAATTAGACACGAATGACCCGACACCCGAAATTGAAAGACAAATAATAACACGTGGGCAGAAACATAGTATAATAAATAGTCGCGATCAAATTTTTATGCGAAAAGAAAATTATTTATATTTCTTAACCACAAACGGTAAACCTTGTGACGAAGGATCAAAACAACTTCAAAAACAAAATTTGATACCAAAAATTAAAGAAAGTAAAGTAGGAAACATCGAAATTGTTAAAAGGGGAAATAGAATCCATTTAATTTTAATATGTAAAGAGAATATTAAAGAAAAAATGACTAGAGAATCACT